GTACTAATACCACAGTGTATAAGTACCCTGGTCCAGTAGAAGTACTACTACAGTGTATAAGTACCTTGGTCCAGTAGAAGTACTACTACAGTGTATAAGTACTCACAGGCAGCATGGCGTTGAACAGGTGCGTGATGAAGGAGGCTCCGTGATGAACAGCCTCCTCCGCCTGAGACAGGTTGGCCACAGAGTGACCTGAAGAGGAAACATCCCATCAGTAACAGGTGTGTACACACAGAAATACTACCCACAGAGTACCCCGACGCTCACCTAGAGACACGGTGATGCCCCTCCGGCAGAGCTCCCTCACCACCGATTGGCTGCCGGCCAGCTCCGGAGCCAGCGTCACCATGGCTACGCTGTCCAGGCTGCCATAGGCGTCCATCAGGTCCTCCATCCCTCCGGAGTGGAAGGTCCTCAGAAAGCTCTCCGGGTGAGCTCCTTTCTTCTCCACGCTGATGAACGGGCCCTCCAGATGGAAGCCTAATATACACACACACACACACACACACACACACACACACACACACACATATATAAATATACAGATAATAAAGCAGCCTCGAGAACACCACTTGAGGATTCATCCGCCGCTGAAAATAGTGCCCTTAAAACTTTATTTATTTATTTTGCAAAATTGAAACAATAAAATACAAATAAAGAAAGATAACAGAGATAAATAATATCACAGAGCAGGAAGAGGCAACTGGGCTTATGTGAAGCCTCCACCGATAGAATATAAACATTTTATAATATTACAGAGAACATACAAAGAATATAAGATATGACTACGTAACATGTTATATGACAAGATGTTCTCACAGGATATGAAATAAAATGCTGTTTGTTTGATAGAAACTACAGAGATCAGCATCTCACCCAGAACTCCAGCTCCTCCCCGTCCTCCATCGTGAACTTTGACCTGAGGCAGAACCTAAAACACGTTTCCATTATGAAGATTATCTCGTCATTAAAATAAAAGGACAGATCTGAATGAGCAAATAATAAAGTGAGACAAAACCAAGAACATAGACTTTAAAAAGTGAATCAACAGCAGCCGTCTGAGACACTTGAGAACATTTAAAGCTGTTCGTTTATTAAATCAGACCTGTCAATCACGTCTCTGTCATTCTGTGTCTAATCAACTGACTGTATTTAAATGTCTATATTTTACATATTATTAGTATTAAAGAAAAGAAAAGATAGAATTAGATAAAATAAGCCTCTTTTGGTGAAAGCAGCACAAGATACAGAAAAATAAAGTAATAATTAAATAATAAGGTGGTGAATACAACACTACAATAAGAATAAAATGTAATGTAAATAGTAAACTACACAGAGAATATAGAGACAACTACAAAGTAAAATGGCAGTGAGATGGTTAAAGTGACAGTACATACATATATATATATATATATATGTATATATATATATATATATACATATATATACATACAATAGCAGCAGAGTCAGCAGGTGGATTTGTATTTATATGCATGTTGTGTTGGTTAAATAACTCTTATAGGAGTATTTCATGTACATGTAACTCTAAACATTTTGATTATTGCTTAGAAATAATATTTCTGATAATATTCAAACTGTCCAAGAGGACAAACCTTTATACAAATAATAAAAGTCATTAGAACGTTCAGACAATAATCTGAATAAAGATGTGAAATGAAACAGTGATGTAGAATAATTAGAAGTAGTTTGTGAGATTTAAAATGTCCTCAAGGTTCTCATTTGGAGGATGTGCTGTGTTGTGTTTGACGACTCAGGAGGAGTCAAGTTAAAACCAGTTACCTTGTGATAGACTGCTGGAGGAGACGTGACCAGCGTGGGGCAGAAGGACGTCACTCCGTGCTGAAGGATCTTCTTGGACACGAAGGAAAGTCCACTGCTGACGTCCTCTGAGGCCTGAGAGAAGTCAATACCGTATCCTCCTGAGGACAAGAGGACAGACAGCTGAGGACATGTCCTACAGGATCAAAGTGTCCTCTGAGGAGAACAGGACAGACAGTTGAGGACATGTCCTACAGGATCAAAGTGTCCTCTGAGGAGAACAGGAGAGACAGTTGAGGACATGTCCTACAGGATCAAAGTGTCCTCTGAGGAGAACAGGAGAGACAGTTGAGGACATGTCCTACAGGATCAAAGTGTCCTCTGAGGAGAACAGGA